AAATCAAGATTAACATACATTAATCTCTTATAATAATTTGCAGTAGTTATTTTTATCTCTAAAACAGTTTAACAAAAAAATGATGTACACTTCGTTTTGCTTAGACCATATATTTTAAAATCATTTATGAGGGAGGGCCCTGAAGGTGGTTTAGTTTCTTTCATCAATAATCATGATTTTGCAATATATCCATCGTTTTCTCTGGCTTTTTTTTTTTTTGTTTGTTTATAGACTACTTTTCAAATGTTAATAGTTCTCCTTTCAACTAATCATATATGCCTTATTAACAAAAATTGCTTTTTATAACAAATGTTGAAGTTAGAAGAATATAAGAAACAATATAATTGATCCGTATTGTTTTATATACAATGATATTATTTGTCTATTATTTGAATATACAAATATATAAAAATATACAGTAGTATTGGAACGATTATTCATTAGTCTATTATCATGGAAAAAAGATTAGACATTATCTAACGATGGATAACATTGTTGTAGACTTCCAGTAAGATAGTTTTCGAATGAAATTGGAAGGTAAATTGGTGTGGCTTGATATGAACAGGAAGAAAATTAGCCCACATCAATCATTCCTCATAGTAACATACCACGGGGATAAATACGCTTAATTATATTCTTAAAAATGACTAAAAAGGGTAACAAAATCTATTGTGATTTGCATTTCTTTTTTTTAAAGAATGTTTAACATCTTGGTTTTGCCAATAAATAAGGACCTCCATTTCAAACCTTCCTCACAAGATTCAATTCTCTCGTCTCTTTGCATTCTCTTGTAATGAGAGAGAAGCGTAATTACTTCTTTTCTAGCAAAATGCATCCCTTGAACAAAAGTAATGGGGTTGTTAACAATGCTGCCAATATTGAATTAGTGATTTACCAAAAATTTCTTGTTGGCCATAGCCAGGTACCATCTTGAGCTCTCTAACTCTTTATTACATCGCTCTATATATGTGTTTAATTATCTTATTCTTCTTAAATTAATCTTCTTTTCTCGTTTATTGCAGATCCCTTTATGGGGATAATAATGGTGACCAAAGGTGGCTAGTGGCCTAATTACTTCCCTTGGGATCACGTTGCGCAAATATTACAGCCAACACTCATTTGATATGATATCAAGTGTGTAGGGAGACAACGAAGCAGGAAATGTCCTAAATCTTCCTTTGGCAGCGTTGCTTAGGCAGGCAGACAAGAGAAAATCCAAAAGCTCAAGATGAATTTGATTGGCTCAAGAACTAAAATCAACTACTAATAAAAGCTTAGTTAAGTTAGTAATCACTAATTTTAAAATCTTTAATTTGATATCAGGGCTTGAAGGGGTTGAAGAAATATCACTGGCTGCTGATATACAAAGAAGCAGAATCAACTAAACAATGTATTTTCTTGGTTAACTCTTTCAAATTCAAAAGATGAATCAGTACCATTATTTCAAAGACTACAATACCAAGTACCACAATACCATTACTATTACCATTACTTCGAGTCAAGATTCGGGATTCAAGGACTACAATATCATTACCATTACTATTATTCAGGGTTAAGGTAAGGGATTTAAGGATTGCAATACCAAGTAACTCTTGATGTACCAATAAAGAACCAGAATCAACAAAACCAATACCTTCTTGCTTAACTCTTTCAAATCCACTAGATGAATCATTACCATTATTTCATCCATTTCAGTGCCTTCATTTGTTTACAAAGAAATAAATGTAAACCATATTATGTCTCATGACTACAAGTACCTCACCAGTAATACTGGTCATCAATAGCTATATTATGTCCTACTTATTTTGTGATTATGATTGAATGGCCTATCATTTTTAGTGTTATGACTTCTTGATTTTCTGCGTCATCTTTAAAAATCACATTTTGTTAATACAAATAGATCAAAAAATGAAAAAAAATACATTGTTGTCAATTATCTATATAACTCAGTGATAATTTCTTTTTAGTGAAAGTAAGAAGTTTTAAATTTTAATCGTCTAGCATGCAATACAAGATTAGGGATGGGTAAAAAGATAAAAAGAAAAAAAAATTATCTCTTATTATGCAATTCAAGATTAAAAAAAAAAAAACACTTTGTTAATACAAATGTGATGAACACCAACGAAGGAATTTTTCAATTTCCAAATACTATTTAGGTATTCTCATATTTTTTATGCTAGTAAGTATATTGATCCTCTCTTTGATAATTTCTTTTAGATTAGGGAAGAAGTAAGAGGTGGAGATGACACATTTTTCTTACTCGTCCTCAAAATTTCCAGCCTTACCTATCTCTAAACTGATATGTTTTTTAAGTTTTCCTCATTTTTATTTTTTATTTTTTGATACATTTGAGAAATTAATTGTAATAGCATAAAAATTTAAACCCTTGACCTTAAATCCAAATTTTCCTTTTTTATGATTTAACTAAAAAATAATCATTCCTCCAACCAGACACAGCTAGATTTTCTTACATTTTACTAACCACAAAGTTTCCTAAAATTGGAAAAATGAGAACATTTAACCAAAATATGAATCATTGCTTGTTTTTGAACAAGTAGAGGAAATAAAGTAACTTTTTCACTACATTCATTATTTAAACACTATGTACAAGAAAACCCAACTGCAATTATTCCAGGGGCTGAGCTGAAACACATCCAGGAGAAAGCTTGGCTCCTTCTGATTTTGCACTAATCTACATACAAAGCCTTTGGCACATAAAACAGATGACCTACAAATCTAAGCTACCAAACCCTAGGAGAAACTTGCCTCTCAATTTAGGGGGAGATGAGATGCTTACAGCAAACTACATACAGAAAGCCTACAAAACTACAGTAATATTACAACATGGGAGACGTTTGCCTCCTCGATGATTTTGAGATGCTGAAATTCTGAAGTCTAGTAATCCATATAAAAAGCTCTTGCCATTTTGGCAGCTTCAATATCCCGCCATATTAACAACCACTTGATGGCAGCTCGGATCTTGCACCAGCTTGCCCGGCGTTTAATATTCGGGAAAGGGATGTTGTGTTGCGATTCATTACCAAAACCATTGCCTAGGTCCCATGCGTTGACAAGAGACCAGTTTGGCATTGGAGTATCAGAAATGTTATCGTTGGCTAAATGACTACCCGGAGTGATGGATGTTGGTGGAAAACCTTGAGGCCAACCATTTTCTCCGTTGTAAGGAATGGGAAAAAATTCCCTCATTGTGAAACTGTTTCTCAGCATTGGATTGAATGCTTGTGGCAGTGAAATTTGCGGTTGATGGGAACCTTCTGATTCATAGGTGTATGATGATCCATTTGGTGCGTGGCTAAAAGCCAGCTGCATTTCAGGTTGTCCTGCACAAATATCAGAATTTAGAATCAAGAATGAAGCATCTCAAGAGGCAAGAAACATAGAAAGAACACCACAAACTTGAAACTAAAATCCCAATATAGAATTTAGAGGGCCAGTTGAAGAGATGTGGTATAAATAAACATGGTATGTGCTCTCTACCTTGGATTGCAACTGGGAAATCAAGTTGCTGTGGCCCCAAATTTGAACTATTAAATGGCTCAGATTGAAAACTTGTCAAGGGTCTTGAAGGGCCCATAATAGCACGCCGGTCAATCAAGGTAAACTCATGTGCATTTTTATAAGCTTGCCGCTTCACATCTTCTACTAAAAGCTGCAAATGGAATACAAAAATCGATGATTTTCGAATCATACGAAACATTTCCAAGAAAGAAGTGCAGTTAACTGATATATGATTTTTTAGATGTTAAGTAAACCTTCCTAGAAGCTAGCTTAAGAAATAAGACCAACTAGTCAGGAGAGTCATGGCCAAAAATTCCTTATTGGAATTCTGTGACATTGACAATTGAATCTGATATACATTCTATATGCAAAAATTTGAGTCTCATGGATGCAAGATACAAACCTTCTGTCCAAAGGTCAGTTTTTCGAGAGGCAGGTAATTTTGGCCATCAAATGTTGCTGCTACAACCTTGTAGATGGAATTTAATAGGAGTCCAATCCTTTCCGTCTGACCAACTCCGTAATAAGTATACATCTCATCATCATTCAGAACACAACTTGTGGCATGGTCTACTATTGCCTCCCATGTCCTGTTAGAGATCCCGCAGCCAAGTACCTACAGTCCCACAGTTCACAAAGGTTCATTACTAAAAGCAAGAGCAAACTAATATGCTACTTATAAAGCATTATTGTAGAACAACTTCTTACATTGCGTAGCCCAGTTGGATCCATTGCATTCCATCGCAGGAAGTCCTTCACAGTTTGAACTTTTTGAGTAGCCAACCGCTTATGAAAAGCACCTTCTTTTGCAATTCTTTCCAAACGCCATACTTCGTCGTTAGGGAATGGAGGGTAGTGCTTCTTGTACACTGCATGAACCAAACTACCTATCAATCTCAAATAATAAATTTGGGCAAAATTCTAACAGCATGAAGAAATAAAAGCAATTTATGTTTCGAAAAAGGAAATCAGTTTCCATGAGGATATTCATAAACAGAAGTAAAGTTGAAAAGATTTGAACTTACACTCTCCGCGATGATCCTTCACCACGAATGCTTCACTTCTAGCTTCCCTAACTGTCACTTCACCAGAAATCCTTTGCACAATTCTGGCTCCTACCCTGAACTTTCGACTTCGTATCCAGCTAGAGTTATCGGTGAATACCACTTCACCAAGTGTGCCTACTCCATCTTTCAAGGTAACGTTGAGCTCCCCAGTCACTAATGGCCTTCTGCCTTCTCTTTCGCGAAGAAGGCTGGCATTAAATTCATTTTCTGTCCAATCTTCATGCTCATCAGCACCAAAATCACCATCAAGGGCAACAATCTCAATCTTAATTGAAGACAATGGACCAGATGAGACAATAGTCTCGTTGGTGGGGTCAAATAAAACAATCTTAACAGGCGTTCCATCGTCTGCTTCAATCTTGCTGCCTGTAAATATGGTAGAGGGCAATTTACCGATGAATTGCAACCGCAACCCTCTTCCTCCGCCTTGCTTGATCTGATTAATCAACGGTCTACAGGAATCATCATAAACCAAAATTAGAGGCAGACTATTCGGGATTTAAAAGAAAAAAAAAAAAAAAAAAGAAGAAGAAGAAAGGAAAACTAGTCTGTAGAAGATAATTTGCAGCGTAAAGGTGCAGAAAAGCAAAATTATTTAAAGAGTTCCAAATTTTAGACTTCATTGAAGGCTTTTAGCAGAAAAATCAAGGGAATAGTTTGGAAAAAATTGTTTAGAGTTATGCCAATCCATCACAAGCTACGGAAAACAGTCTGTCCATCTATATAGAAAAGATGCTCAAATTGTTAGAGATCCTTGTTTAACAATTAACATATTCCAAGCGGAGAGAAGTAGCTAACCTTGGAGATGAGCTTAGGATGGGTAGAATTGCACGTTCCACTTCATCTCTCACCTAAACGTCAAAGATATGTTGAATAATGAGCAAAATGGATGTATGAAAGCAAAAGGTCTGAAATCTAAATGTGAAGAATTTCAGCCACTGCAATGATAGACAGATTGGTAATGACCGCATAAGAGAAAGCAGAACAAAACAAAAGAAAGTTAATAAAAAAGGGTGAAAGAGAAACAAGCTTTTGGTCTCTTTACAAGAGCAAAAGTAGTTGGAAAAATGACCCCCATCAGAAAAAGGCAAAAACAAAACCTGCATAAACCCATTTAGACATTCCTTTTGTAAACCAAAAATTCCTTTTTCCTGACTGAATTTTTTAATATGAAAATTTACTTTCAAACTTTGAACATGAAAGGGTTTTCTCCTTTTTTCATTTACTGAATTAATACAGCAAAGTTAATAATTAAGCCATCTTACCACATCTCGAAGAAATGGTTCCATCCCAAGCACGATTTCACTCAAGGAAAGCCCCTGCATCACACCCCTAACAGCACTGTACAAAATTCAGAAAACCCAAATTTAGTAACCAACCAAATCAATTCCCAAAACAACAAAAAAAAAAAACCCCATTTGTTCACTAATCCTAAACTCCTCACCTTGAAAACGTAAGTTTTCGTTTGGACGCCTGAAGCACAACCCCCAACCTATCCCCATTATCAGTAAGGAGAGAGTTTCTACTAGGCAAAACCATCAGGGGAACTCCAAGAATGCTTTCTCCAAGAATTTGCAGAACACTATAGAGAATTCTGAAACTTAGCACAACCAATGCCCCATTTATAAATCCAGACAACTAAAGCATTATGGGAAGGTACCTAGAAATTTGTTTGATAATTATGGCAACGCGCTAATCTCAAAAAGTCAAGACTACGTAGTTTAACTTTTTACACCTGAAACTCTGAAAGAACAAAAAGAGAGAATAGGAAACATTAAATAAACAAGATCCATGTGGATACTCCAAGGTACTAGTATCAAGCTTCTTTAAACCCTTTAATGGGAATAAACAAAAAGGGACAAATAATATGCGGAGTTTGAGGTGGGATTCGTGGGAAGATTACATCAAATAAAGATAAAACCGCGTGCTCATTAAAAGTACTAATTTTTTTTAGAAACATACATTGAAACATAAAATTCCTATTAGTTGAGATGTTGGAATTCAAGCTAACGAACTTAACTAAGACAAAAGCGCGTAAAAATTGAAAAGTCGAATGAAGAATGGGACAAAGGTAAGGTTTAGGGAGGTCTTCTATGCAATAGTTACACATTACTGTATGGTTCATAAATAAATTTAATAATTTAGGGTTTTTTTAACATGTGAAAAAATAAAAAATAACAATTAATTTATTAATTATTTAATAAAATTTATTTATCACATTAACTCTAAAATTAATGTTTATCTTTATATTTTTTTATAAATCTATTAAAAAATACTTTTAATTTGTACTTAAAAAACACAAATTAAAAAAATCTAATATTTTATATTTTAAAAGAGTTTTCAAACATCATCAGAAGACTTTTGTTAACTCAATAATTAATGTTTTACAATTTCAAAATTCAAATAGAAAAGGAAAAACTCTTTTCTTGCCCCTAATAATCATTTGATAGGGTGATGTGCTGAGTTGTAAAGGTCTCATATATTTTATTGATTTACATTTTTCTTTACTTATTCGTTAAGATTTAATTACTCTAAACCCCAAAACATTTTCTTTTGTCTATCAATAACAATTTTATTTATTAATTAATTAAAATTTAATTTTTTAAAAATATTTAGAAAAAACTAAGTTATTAATCTTACCGTTAATAATTTACCTTTAATCAAACTGAAGATATATTAAGTGTTTAAAAATATATGCAACTTGACTCTAAACACCGTGTTAAAGTAAAAATTAGTTTGTTATATCATGTTATATTATTGTTCGCGGCATGGAAGAAAAAGAAAGTAAACACGGTGGATTGACGCGTGCTGTGTGAGTCGTGTCTCTTTTTGTTTTTTCGTTTTTCTGAAGAGGAAGAAGGTTGCTGGAAATTGCAATAGGCGAGTTTTCTGCATAAACGCGTTGGTTGGTGGCAGTGATCGGGACCAGACAAAGCTTGCCTGGCCCGGCTAAAGTTTATAATTTATACATGGAATTTCTTTTAACG